ATTACAGTTTTTATAAACAGTACCAAAAACTCGCTACAAGTTAAAAAAATCAGTCACTGAATAAAAACAGTGTTTTAGTAGATATGTCTTAGCTAATTTCTTAAACGTATCAAAATTTAGATCATAAACATTGCAGTTGTTTATTTCATTAACAAATTTATTATACAGATTTAAATCCAACTTATTATCTTTAGTTACTTTTAGTCTTGAATACAGTGGTACAAAATTTTGTGCATTTCTCGTAACATAGTTATGTGTATCTTGGTGCTTATTAAACAAATTTTTGTTTTTATGGATTTCCAACAGAGATTCGTATATGTATATTGTAGGTAGAGGCATGATTTTATATTGTATAAACAAAGATTGACAGTGAGTGCCAAAAGGCACTCCTGCTAATATACGTAGAGCTTGTTTTTGTAGTACAAAAGCTTTATTTGAAAATGTGGAATTACCCCAGAGCAATACAGCATAACAGAGATGACTATGAACAAGCGAGAAATACACAGTTTTAAGTACATTAGTACTCAGACATTTCCGTAACTGGCGTAATATAAATATTTGTGATGACATATTCTTACAAACTTGATCGACGTGATGTTTCCAACTCAGTGCCGAATCTAAAATGACACCAAGCAAGCGGACCGGTTGTGATTTTTTTGCCCACTTATCTGAGGTAAAAGTAATGTTATTTGTCTTAGCCTCATTCAATTTTAAATTATTACAGGAGAACCAGTTTTTAATTTGTTGAGTCACAGCTGCCGGATCATGGTCCCTACTATCTGATATTATAGTAGTATCATCGGCAAATAGCAGGCAATAGCTATTTAAAGTTGAAGGAAGATCATTAATAATAATAATAATAATAATAATAATAATAATAATAATAATAATAATAATAATAATAATAATAATAATAATAATAATAATAATAATAATAATAATAATAATAATAATAATAATAATAATAATAATAATAATAATAATAATAATAATAATAATAATAATAATAATAATAATAATAATAATAATAATAATAATAATAATAATAATAATAATAATAATAATAATAATAATAATAATAATAATAATAATAATAATAATAATAATAATAATAATAATAATAATAATAATAATAATAATAATAATAATAATAATAATAATAATAATAATAATAATAATAATAATAATAATAATAATAATAATAATAATAATAATAATAATAATAATAATAATAATAATAATAATAATAATAATAATAATAATAATAATAATAATAATAATAATAATAATAATAATAATAATAATAATAATAATAATAATGATAATAATAATGATAATAATAATAATAATGATAATAATAATAATAATAATAATAATAATAATAATAATAATAATAATGATAATAATAATGATAATAATAATAATAATAATAATGATAATGATAATAATAATGATAATAATAATAATAATAATAATAATAATGATAATGATAATGATAATGATAATGATAATGATAAAATGATAATGATAATGATAATGATAATGATAATGATAATGATAATGATAATGATAATGATAATGATAATGATAATGATAATGATAATGATAATGATAATGATAATGATAATGATAATGATAATGATAATGATAATGATAATGATAATGATAATGATAATGATAATGATAATGATAATGATAATGATAATGATAATGATAATGATAATGATAATGATAATGATAATGATAATGATAATGATAATGATAATGATAATGATAATGATAATGATAATGATAATGATAATGATAATGATAATGATAATGATAATGATAATGATAATGATAATGATAATGATAATGATAATGATAATGATAATGATAATGATAATGATAATGATATAATGATAATGATAATGATAATGATAATGATAATGATAATGATAATGATAATGATAATGATAATGATAATGATAATGATAATGATAATGATAATGATAATGATAATGATAATGATAATGATAATGATAATGATAATGATAATGATAATGATAATGATAATGATAATGATAATGATAATGATAATGATAATGATAATGATAATGATAATGATAATGATAATGATAATGATAATGATAATGATAATGATAATGATAATGATAATGATAATGATAATGATAATGATAATGATAATGATAATGATAATGATAATGATAATGATAATGATAATGATAATGATAATGATAATGATAATGATAATGATAATGATAATGATAATGATAATGATAATGATAATGATAATGATAATGATAATGATAATGATAATGATAATGATAATGATAATGATAATGATAATGATAATGATAATGATAATGATAATGATAATGATAATGATAATGATAATGATAATGATAATGATAATGATAATGATAATGATAATGATAATGATAATGATAATGATAATGATAATGATAATGATAATGATAATGATAATGATAATGATAATGATAATGATAATGATAATGATAATGATAATGATAATGATAATGATAATGATAATGATAATGATAATGATAATGATAATGATAATGATAATGATAATGATAATGATAATGATAATGATAATGATAATGATAATGATAATGATAATGATAATGATAATGATAATGATAATGATAATGATAATGATAATGATAATGATAATGATAATGATAATGATAATGATAATGATAATGATAATGATAATGATAATGATAATGATAATGATAATGATAATGATAATGATAATGATAATGATAATGATAATGATAATGATAATGATAATGATAATGATAATGATAATGATAATGATAATGATAATGATAATGATAATGATAATGATAATGATAATGATAATGATAATGATAATGATAATGATAATGATAATGATAATGATAATGATAATGATAATGATAATGATAATGATAATGATAATGATAATGATAATGATAATGATAATGATAATGATAATGATAATGATAATGATAATGATAATGATAATGATAATGATAATGATAATGATAATGATAATGATAATGATAATGATAATGATAATGATAATGATAATGATAATGATAATGATAATGATAATGATAATGATAATGATAATGATAATGATAATGATAATGATAATGATAATGATAATGATAATGATAATGATAATGATAATGATAATGATAATGATAATGATAATGATAATGATAATGATAATGATAATGATAATGATAATGATAATGATAATGATAATGATAATGATAATGATAATGATAATGATAATGATAATGATAATGATAATGATAATGATAATGATAATGATAATGATAATGATAATGATAATGATAATGATAATGATAATGATAATGATAATGATAATGATAATGATAATGATAATGATAATGATAATGATAATGATAATGATAATGATAATGATAATGATAATGATAATGATAATGATAATGATAATGATAATGATAATGATAATGATAATGATAATGATAATGATAATGATAATGATAATGATAATGATAATGATAATGATAATGATAATGATAATGATAATGATAATGATAATGATAATGATAATGATAATGATAATGATAATGATAATGATAATGATAATGATAATGATAATGATAATGATAATGATAATGATAATGATAATGATAATGATAATGATAATGATAATGATAATGATAATGATAATGATAATGATAATGATAATAATAATAATAATAATAATAATAATAATAATAATAATAATAATAATAATAATAATAATAATAATAATGTGTGGAGTTGCCAATCTCCCATCCAGCGCGTCCCCGGGTGGTGGATAGGGGAATGCTTCCCATTTATGGGTGGTACCGGTCAAATGAAATAGCCGGCGCGAACCAAAATTGGCACCTGGACGGACTCTTAATGACGAAAATAGCTAGTACAAGGACAAACTCTTTTTTTTTTTGAAAAATATGGCAGACACAATGAAAACAGTAGAGACTACTGAACAGGGGTTCGGAACTCCCCCAGTTCCGGTCGGTGACGAGAGTGCGAAAGCAGGCCCTCCCCGACCGTCATCCAACGACTGCAATGATGAGATGGAGACAGAGTGTACTTCGGTAGGGAACCAGGCCGGTACCTCTGGAATTATTACTGGAACAACAGAAAAGGAGGTCTTTGACAGAAAAGACAAAGTATCTAGATCGCCCAGCTTAGGACGAAAAGTAGCTGGAAGTAAATCTGAAGGATTTGGGATGTTCGATAGACAGAAATCTAATTCACTCAGTCTTGAAAAGATATTCAGGACTAGCATAGTTAGTGGCAGCACTAAGAGGAAAGCAACAGAAGAGAGCGGCGGTAATAATATAAACGAGGTAAAGGACATCATGGAAAAACTGGTTAAAATATCTTCCGAATTAATGCAGATAATTGGGTACAACGCTAATACCAAAATGGACATTAAAACCAGGGTAAAAGAATCTAATTGGCTACTAGACAGCATGAAGCGGAGAATAGAAGAGTGGGATGAAATCCCCGTTAATACAAAACCAAGGTTGGAAATAAAAGCATCCAAGAGTATAGGAATACAAACAGAGACGGAAGAAGAAGAAACTACAAATATGAAACAAGAAATGAAAGTGGAAATTGAAAAAGTACTGGGCACTGAGGAAGATAACTACGATAAGTTGACAAGTATTATAGATAAGGAATGGGCAGAAGATATATATAAAGTAACCGAAATTGAAGATGGTACCCTACAAAATGCGACGATAGAAGAAAACCTTGCCGTTATAGTGGACCCAAACACAACGCCCGAGGACGTGAGAGTGGAACCGTTGATACGGAAGCTTCCGGCTGCGATGGCCCTTATAGAGGACGGCCTAAGTGAGGGTCAAGTAGAAATCATGTCGATTCAGACAGAAGTAGCTACGAAGAAATGTAAAAAGGGAGTAAAGAATACTATTTTCGCACTCCCAATACAAATGGATAATAGTGGTATATGTGATGTAAAAGTTGCATACCAGCTATGCATGAATCTTAAAGAACTATCTGAGGAGCAAGGAGTAAAAAATATTAAAGTGGCAATACTGGGACAAACAAACGTTGACTATTGGAGAAAATGTATGGAGTACAGTTATAGAGGTTTAAAAGGCATTAGGATAACGATAATTAATAGAGGAAAAAAGAAAAGACGAAAAAGAACGGAAAGAAATGAAAAGCCAGAAAACATCTCTGAGACAATTATAGTAAAATCCCAAGGAAAGTCGTACGCTGACCTATTACGAACTGTAAAAAGGGACGTTAATCTAGAAGAGACTGGAGTGGAAGTCAAGAGACTAAAAAAGACAAAAAAGGGAGATCTTTTATTGGAAGTTGAAGGAAATCTTAACGCAATGAAATTAAAAGAGGCTATAAACAAAAATGTGGGAGAAGCGGAGATGTTTCAGAAACAAAATAACACCATCCTATTTATAAACAATATAGATGCAGTTATAACAGAGGAAGAACTTAGAGATGCGATTAGGAAAAGCGAAAATAACATGGAGGAAGACAGCTTCAAAGTTATATCTTTGAGACAAACCAGTTACGGGAATCAGTCCGCAACTGTGAGTATGAAGAAGGAGTTGGCAGAGAAATTTGTCAAAAAGAAAATAAAAATAGGATGGGTAACGTGTGGAGTCAGGAAAAGAATACATGTGGAAAGATGCTACAAATGCCTAGGATTCGGGCATAAAAAGGCAGACTGTAATGGAGAAGACAGATCTAATCTGTGTCTAAAATGTGGGAAAACAGGGCATATTGCCAAGGAGTGTTCCAATAACCCATTTTGCATTCATTGTAAAACGGAGGGGCATAGGGCAGATCAGACGAGTTGTCCGAACTTTAGAAAAATAATAAGGGACGAAAATAGGAAGGGAACTATTCGGAGAAACACCTACAGAAGTAGAGTAGACTCCAATAATGAAGTGTTTGCAGACTAATCTAGGAAGGGGCAGGGTGGCACATAACCTAGCCTATGCGTTGGCTCTAGAAATAGATGCTGACTTAATAATAATTTCGGAGCCGAACATTAGGATATCTGATGGGGCGGAATTCATTAGAGATAAGAACAAAGTGGTGGCTGTACAAATAATTAACAAAAACATTGGAATTGAGGGACACACAATAGGTAAAGGATACATTAGTCTAAAATTTAAAACTTTTCATTTGTATTGTTGCTATATATCGCCAAATATTACGGTAGAAATGTTTGAAAACTCATTAGATATTATCATGAACGATGCGCGGAGTTGTGGAAAAGATACAATTATAGCAGGAGACCTGAACTCCAAATCCCCATTATGGGGTGCACCCATGTCAGACAGAAGAGGAAGTTATCTAGCGGATTGGGCATCTGAGCTAAACCTTATATTCCTAAATACTGGAGATCCTACCTTTGAAAGAGGAAATACACGATCGCATATAGATGTAACCTGTGCATCACCGGGAATAGCTAGTAAAATATTGGGGTGGCAAGTCCTCTCAGGGGAATTCCAAACATACCACAACCACATACTATACGAGGTAAATTGTGGAGGAAAAAAAGTAAAAAATAATACAAACAGAAAGGCGATGTTTAACAGGCAGAGGTTTTCACAAAAAATGGAAACCGAACTTAAACCGAACTACGATAAAGTAAGAGACTTAGTTAAGGATGTAAAGAAAGCAGTGGAGGGGAGTACTGGCTCTATTCATGCAGAGAGAAAAAAATTTCCATATTGGTGGAATGAAAACATAGAAAATAACAGGACAAAATGCATTCGAATCAGAAGAAATATGACCAGACTAAATGAAAAGTATGGAAGAGAAAATGTAAGGTCTCTAGAAGCAAAAGAGGAGTATGATAAAATGAAAAAATCATTAAGAAACGAAATAAACAAATCAAAAAGGGAACTATGGAGAAAGCTATGCGAGGACCTAGAAGAAGACATATGGGGAAACGGTTATAAGATAGCAGTGAAACGCATAGGTAGATTTGTGGCTCCCTACAATCCTAGCAAAGAACAAAAAATCGAATGGTGCAGACAACTTTTCCCAAACAGTGACAAAAAAAGTACCCGATGGATCGGAATCCCTGAAAATGAAGTAACGGTTTTTACGGTGGAAGAACTGCAAACGGCAGCAAAAGCAATCAAATCGAGCAGAGCCCCAGGTATAGACAAAATTCCGCCTGAGGCGGTTAAGATACTGGTAGAAAAAGCTCCACAGAGTGTACTAGAAGTGTTAAATAGACTACTACGTGACCAAAGTTTTCCAAAAATCTGGAAAGAAGCCCTGGTAGTGTTGATACCAAAAGGAAAAGATAAGCCACTGCTTCAGGCATCGTCATACAGGACAATATGTCTGCTTAGCTCACTAGGGAAACTATACGAAACGATGCTAAAAAACAGATTAGAAAAAGATATCGAAAATAAGGGAGGATTTTCAGCAAATCAATTTGGATTCAGGAAAGGGAAATCAACAATTCAAGCGATAGAAAAGGTAGTAAAAAGCGCAATGGAATCGAATAAGAAATGGGTAATGGTCGTGACCGTAGATATCAAAAATGCTTTTAATATGGCATCCTGGGAAAAAATTATGGATAAGCTGGAAGAAAAAGGAATAGCAAGATACCTGATAAATGTAATAGACAGTTATTTAAGTCACAGATACATAAGGGTTGAAAACGAGTACATCGAACTAAGCACAGGAGTACCACAGGGATCTGTATTAGGACCCACGTTGTGGAATGTACTATATGATGGCATTCTTAGGATACAGCTAATGGAAGGGGTAACAACAGTGGCTTTTGCTGATGATCTTGCGGTTATTACGGAAGCTGCAGACAGGGAAGAGTTGGTTTATAAAACTAACGAATCACTATATAGGATAGAGAGATGGATAGAAGCAAATAAGCTACAACTAGCTCCACAAAAATCTGAGGTAATAATCTTAAAAGGCCCAAGCAAAAGAGAAGAGATTAAGGTAAGAATATCTGGAACAGAAATTGACCATACCAGACAGGTGAAGTATCTAGGAGTCACTCTAGACGACAGGATGGGATTCGGAAAGCATATAAAAGACATCGTAGAAAAAGCTGAATCAAAGCTAACGGCCCTCTCTAAACTAATGCCAAATGTTGGCGGCCCAGGAAGTAAGAAACGAATAGCACTGTACGGGGTGGTACAATCTGTACTACTCTACGCGGCCCCAGTATGGAAAGACGTAATAGAAAAAGCCAAATACAGAAATATGCTAATTGCTGTGCAAAGAAGAGCACTTATAAGAGTAGTCAGCGGGTACCGAACAATCTCGGCAGTAGCGACGCAGGTAATAGCAGGAATCCCCCCTATTAACCTACTAGTGGAGGAAAGGTTCAGGTTACATTTAAGAGACGACAGCAAGAACAAACGAGCCAGGGAAGAAGAAAGAGCGAAAACTTTGGAGATATGGCAAGAACAATGGCGGCAGCAAGTAGGTAAAGGAGATTGGACAAAACTGATAATAAAAGATGTAAAGAAGTGGGTTAAATGCGAACACAGGAAAACGAACTACTATCTAACGCAGTTTCTTTCCGGCCACGGAAATTTCGCAAAATATCTCCAAAGGATGAATATAAGGCCTAGCGGAGAGTGCAGGCACTGTAGAGAGAATGAAACCCCCGAGCACGTAGTTTTCCGGTGTCCAAGGTGGGAAAATAAAAGAAGGGCCTTAATAATTGATATTGACCAGGAAATTAGCCAGGAAACCATTATAGAAACAATGATTAGAAGTCCAAGGTTATGGAACGCAATACAGGAATATATAATTGAAGTAATGGCAACAAAAGAAATGGAAGATAGAGAAATACAGCCGAATAATATTCAATAAGACAAGCTCTGGGGACTGACGTAACCTCAACCAAGGAGATTCCGGTCCACAAGGTTGAAGGAAAGAGGTGTTTTAGAGGGTACACTATGTTTGCACCTACCACATAGGATCCCCTCACACCATGCTGCCGTTGATCAACTCGGGCACATGACGGTCCATAAAGGATTTCACCTCAGAAAAAAAAAAAAAAAAAAAAAAAAATAATAATAATAATAATAATAATAATAATAATAATAATAATAATAATAATAATAATAATAATAATAATAATAATAATAATAATAATAATAATAATAATAATAATAATAATAATAATAATAATAATAATAATAATAATAATAATAATAATAATAATAATAATAATAATAATAATAATAATAATAATAATAATAATAATAATAATAATTATAATAATAATAATAATAATAATAATAATAATAATAATAATAATAATAATAATAATAATAATAGGGGGGTGGGTTGGCTCAGTGGTTAGAGTCATGACTTTGAGATCGGAAGGTCTCAGGATCGAATCCCACCGTTGGCCGGAATTTTTTCATTTAATTTAATTATTTAAAATTAATTCTGATGCCTTGGTAGGATTCCCCACTCGACCATTCACTGTTGGGTTCTAATTAACAGTGCTGTTCCTAAAGTGGCGCTGGGAAACAGTAACAAAGCCTACACAGAACACGAGGCTAATGGCCGTAGTAGTCGACGCCGATGACACCAATTAAAAAAAAAAAAAAAAAAAAAAAATATAATAATAATAATAATAATAATAATTATAATAATAATAATAATAATAATAATAATAATAATAATAATAATAATAATAATAATAATAATAATAATAATAATAATAATAATAATAATAATAATAATAATAATAATAATAATAATAATAATAATAATAATAATAATAATAATAATAATAATAATAATAATAATAATAATAATAATAATAATAATAATAATAATAATAATAATAATAATAATAATAATAATAATAATAATAATAATTAATAATAATAATAATAATAATAATAATAATAATAATTAATAATAATAATAATAATAATAATAATAATGATAATAATAATAATAATAATAATAATAATGATAATAATAATAATAATAATAATAATAAAAAAAATATTCAAATTTTAAATTTTGTTATAAGATTAAATTAAATTCTACATTACAGAAATATCACCCTGTACATCTAAAATGTAGTTGACTTAAAATGTGAAAGTTAGTGATTTTGGTAAGATTATTCTTATTGGAAGTTTAAGTAATATAAGTAATAACGAAAATACTTACAAAATTTTAGATTTTGCAAATAAAATAATAAAAATTCCAAATTTATATATTTTGTAAGGTATAAACTAACAAAATTTAATAAACCATAATATTATGTATAAAATACTACCATCTTTATTGGTTTAAACCTTCGTTACTATGGGACTCGTATCCATTGTGAAATAAATAAGTTTGTTGATTTTGATTTTCCTTTGGGAAGGAAGCTGGCAAAAATTTCTTCATGTACTAAAAATATTTTTAAAATTATTTTAAAAGAAAAATTCTATCAAACAATATCTAACATTGTTAAAGAATCAAATTTGAATCAACATTTGATATTAGGTTAGTACACACCTTGTGTAATAAGAATTGGTCAAATTTATTCAAGCAGAAGCAAATGCCAGATATATTAGAAATATATACCTGTTTATGGAAGGTGCCGGTATTTGAATTACAGGTATTAGCATCCCTAAAAAAACAAGAAAAGATTCAACCTGTGTGTAAAAACTTTACATAAAAACAATTGTTTACCTTGACTATTTATAAAGTGCAGAAGTAAATTACTGAAAGGAGAGTAATTTATCATCATTTTGTATATATTATTAGTCTTGTATATAATTGTATTTATTTGAATATTTTGTCAAAAGAATGCAGAATAGGAATATATAGGTTAGTTAATAAATGTATCAATCATATTTGTTAAAACTGTCACATCTCAGATCACAGTACAATAACTAGATGTACAAATAATAGTATCAAAGTGATACTAACATGTAGATAGACACTAGATAGATACAAATATTGCTATTCTACTTTATTATACAGGAATCGTTTTAATAACAGTTTTAATGGATGGTTGGAGAGTTGAAAGGTTAATTTTTAAATAATAGTTATGTGTTTGATAGAATTACGTATATTATTGTAATCGCAGTTCTCAGTTTATTAGGAAATGGTAATAAATTTGAAATTATTTGTATTAAATTTGATTATTTAACATACAGGGTAAAGGGGATATGTACAAAAAGTAATAATTTGGATTATTGGTGAATTTTAATTAGTTGAAATATCAGCAATTTTATCTTAGTTAACAAAATTTAAATAAAATTAAAATACAATTAAAACAAAACTAATTATTTCTAAAAGTTATTACTTACTTAAAACCACCCCTAGAAGCAAGATAATCCGCTCTATTGAGTACTGAGTATTTAAAGAAACAGTTAAGGCTAGCCGAGGTAACAGTTTAAAAAAAAATAAGGTAAAAAAAATTTAATGATAAAAATTAAGGGATGACATCAAAATACCGTATATAAGTAATTACAACTTAGTGGTATCATCTCAATACGTACATTAAAAAAGTGTCAAATTATTTTGCATGGCTATAACGTTCGTTAAAAGATGAACACTTCAATATTTATTTGGATTGTATCGAGGTCACATATCCACAATAGATCTGAAAAGGTCGAGGTAGGGGAGGCCACATGGCCCATAGTCCTAATTAAATATCTCTCTAAATCAAGGTCACATTGATAAAAAATTTTGATGTCAATAAACTTGTATTCTTTATAAGTATTTCAATTTAGTGAAAGTATCTTAGTAATACTCTTATATTTCTTCAGCAATATGTCTTTTATAGCGGTTACTATCATTTTGAAAAATCGCTTGTATGCAAGTTTTTTTCTTGCGTAAGC